ATAAAGCATGGAGAGCTGAGAAATCCCAAATACAACATCTGAGCATCCTAACGAGGATGGGAGAGAGGGGGAGGAGAGTGAGAGCAAAATCCTTTCATTCAAAACTCTGCTTTGATACCTGTGCCTTAAAACCTTCTGTTCTTGTGTTGTGGGTGAGAAGCCTGGTTTCCTCTGTTAAAGAAGGAGGGAATAAATCTTCTGAAACTGCCTCTTTAAAAGCTGTGAACTGAAAAGGAAGAACCTCCACACATTCATATTTAAAATTCTGGGATTTTAAACACTGGTTGTGCCCTATGGGTGGGGAGACCAGGGTAGTCCCCCAAGAGGAAGCTGACTCCTGGGGCTTCATGGCTCAGCTTTAGCACACTGCAAATTAAATAAAATTAAATAAAATTATTTGAAGTAATGCTGAACCCCAAAAGGAATTTCCAAGGGCTTCTCTAGAGCATTTGCACTCAAAGTGCCACCCTAGGGAGCAGCAGGACTGACACCACCAGGTATTTGCCCCAGAACCATCGTGCTCTTCCCCAAGCACAAGACCCTCCAGCCTTTCCCCTCTCTCCTGTCTTGCTTCTTTTCACGTCACACTTCGGTTTTCCTGGGACTTCTCCACCAGAACAGCAGACAGGAGGAATGTGGCACACTGTGTTTGTTTGGATAAAGCAAGAAGGGGGGATTACTCTTGGTTTCCTAATGGAAAACTGGTACCACCGTTAGCTCTGCAGGGAAAAATTGGATGAATGAGGGGGAAGCCCCTGAATTCCCCAAAGAGAGTTAATTACCCATGCTCCAGGAGCAGTGATTAGGCAGGATGCCAAGCCATAGCTGACTTTTTCCAAAAATACCTGAGTCAAAAGTCCATAAACATCAGGAACTTCACTGCAACCCGCTTGTCCTTGAGGCCCAGCGAGGAGCCAGCGCAGCAGAGCCCGGGGAGACGGTGGGACTCCTGACTTTGGTGGCCCTGAGAGCCAGCCCAGTTTCCATGGCCTGAGTCAGAGCTCAGACAATCCACCTTTTGCCCGATGCCCTCTTGCAAATGTTTTTCCTGCTGGTGAAAAGCATAACAAGGGAGAGAAGGGCTGAAAGGTGCAAAAGGTTAAGTTCAGCTTGCTGCTGTAACTCCAACCCCATAAGCCAGACCTTTAGCCTGCCAACAGGCAAACCAAGCTGAGAGGGCTAAATCCTCCCACATGAAGCCCAGCATGGAGGCTCCTCAGGCTGACACGGGCTGTTCCCCACTGGGACAGGAGTTTCAGGGCTGCTGAGGCAGCCCCTCTGCTACCTCACGAGGGGCAGCACTGACCCTCTGTGAGCAGTGACAGGACCCGAGGGAATGCCTGGAGCTGTGTCAGGGGGGTTAGGCTGGATATCAGGTTCTTCCCCCAGAGGGTGGTTGGGCACTGAACAGGCTCCCCAGGGTTTGGTCACGGCCCCAAGGCTGCCAGAGCTCCAGGAGGGTTTGGACAACACCCTCAGGAACATAGTGAGAGTGTTGGGGTGTCTTGGGCAGGGCCAGGAGCTGGACTTGATGGTCCCTGTGGGTCCCTTCTAGTTCAGGATATTCCATGATGCGAGGATATCTCTCTCTCTCCAGCAGCACTGTTTGCTCTCCATAGCAGGGGATTTTACAAGGGACAAAGACAGAAGTGCCACCACTGTAAAACTACTTTTAAAACCCACCAGAAAACAGACACAAAGCTAGAAAAGCACTTCCTATCCCTTAAACCAGCCCAGGGTCCCAGTGCTGCTGCCACACAGTGGGGCAGCCCCTGCCTGGAGGGTGGGAGATGACAGAGGTACAGAGGTGGGGATGCCACAGCTGCTCTTACAGCTCCTCAGTCAGGAGCACTTCTGGAGAGGTTTTCCTCTGAAAGATGAACACTGGGAAGGTTTTCTTCCCTCTGCTGCTCCAGAGGTTTTCTCCTCTGCTTGCAGCAGGCCTGTTCCTGCTGCCCCACATCTGGCAGCACACTGAGATGGCAGCATCTGGGGAAAATCCCAAGGATTGTCCCTTTCCTGTTGCACAGCAGGCACAGCGAAGGCAGCTGAGTCAAAACCAGAGCTGTGACATGGCACATTTGAAATCTGACCAACTTTGTTCAGGTTACTGCTTAGCTGAGATGAAACTCAGGAAATAAAGTGCCTCAAGGCTTTTTTTGCATGGAGATGCAGAGCCATCTATGTGGAAACACTTGCAAGGCTCAGTGCTTTCCCCTAAACAACCTCAGGAGGAGAGCCCAGCGACCATACTGAGGCTTTAGCACAATTCCTGTAAAATCTTATTCTTCCAGTGGTACAGTTTTATTTTTTGAAGTGATAAACCCTAATCTCATTAGCTTGGCTCCTTTAGTGATGCAGAATCCCCTCTATCTGATTGGCAAAGCAGGCAGGGATTCAGGAAGCAAGCCTGCATCCTCATTAAAGCAGGGGAAGTCTTTTTTTCCGCCTTCTCCTGTTTCAACAAGACATTAGTATGTACAACATGTGCTCTGGAACTAGTTTGGTCTAATCCTCTTTGTTTGCCTTTCAGCTATGAAACTACTATGGGATAAGCCTGCTTAGGAAATGCAAGGCTGGCTCATGCCAAGTGAGTTATAAGAGCCATGGGCTTTGCTTACATGTGACAGCACTTCCAGAAGCAAGTCCTGTATGGAACAAGGTCCAGGAAAAGAGCTCTGGGATGGTTTTCCATCACCACTGGCAATACAATGTTCTAGTGGAAAAAAATGATGTGAAGCATGGATAAATAAGCTCCTTCCAGAATCATGATTATTTTTTAACTAAGCATCTGAGAAAAAAATTGACAGCATTTCTCAATTATTTCACAGCTTTTGAAGCATCAGCTTTTCAAGTCAAGTTGTCCAAAAGTCTCATTATCAATAATTTCAACTTTCTACTTAAAGAAAAAATAACTGTAGTTAAAATTAATTTTGACATTGATACATACAAAAGAGACTCTTGAAATTATGTCTATTTCAAACCCTGGGGGAAAAACCCCAAACTCTAAGTTTTGAAGCCACGTTTGAATTCAAATTATTCTCTGTTTCATATGTAGAAAATACTGGTGATTGACACAAAGTTTCAAACACTTGGCAACAAGTTCTTTTATAAGGCAAAATGCAGCAAAGGAAAATTTGCTTTTAAACCTCCCTATTTTTAACAGATAAAACAACACCATAAAATAGATGTAATGACATGCGACCAGCAAAGTGAGCTCTGAAGTATATAAAATAGTGAGACAGGCTTGGAAGACAAAGAGAGGACTGGCATTTATCTGGAAAATCAGGATATCTGTTACCAAGCACCTGTTCTGTCTCTATTTACCTCTTCCTCCTTTGGGGAGTTACCCAAATGCGGGTCACAGCCGTGCCGTGGGACTGCAGAGCAGAGCCTCTGCTCAATAATTCCCTAAGTTCAGCTGCAGAGAGCTGGAACATATGAATTACCTCTCTATTTATAAGGCAATAGCTCTGCTGGGATAGTCAGCCTGGACTGAAGTTGTGTTAGTAAAATCAGGAGTTCGAAGGGAACATGGATCAGGTGCCACAGGGTTTGCGAACCCACCCTCACTTGTTCACACCAGGGAACACTGGGAGCACTTCCAGAGCACCAAAGAAAATGCACTGGTTTGGGTTTTTATTCAATGTTTTCCTCTTTAGTAAACTTTACAGACTTTCTGTCTCTTTGCAACCTCCCAAAATCGGGCATCCTGGAAAGAAATCAAAGGCGAGGCAGAACTGCTCGTTAAGGTGGGCTGGTGGGACCAAAAGAAATGCAAATCAGCCTTGGAGACTGCCAGGAATTGCTGGCCAGGCCCCCTGGGTTGGCATGCAGGCTCTCGGAGTCTCCCAGTCCCCCTGCACAGCCAACAATGAGCCCTGGGTTTGGGGAGGGCAATGCCAAGTGGGCAGAGAACCAAACGCTGCCCTGGCTCCAGCTGCAGGGACCTGCTGGATGGCCCCACCATGGAGAGGTCTCCTTGGGCTCCAACACTGCTTTTTCCTGCCAAAAGATGATGGTAGGGAAAAACTGAGCCTTCAGATGTCCTGAGATCAAACAGATCAGACAAAAAGTTAGAATAGGCTCTCAGGGAGTTTAGAATCCCTGAACAGCCTGGGTTGGAAGGGAACTTAAAGCTCATCTTGTTCCAAAACCCTGCCATGGGCAGGGACACCTTCCACTATCCCAGGTTGCTCCAAGCCCCGTCCAACCTGGCCTTGGACACTTCCAGGGATGGGGCAGTGACAGCTTCTCTGGGCAACCTGTGCCAGGGCCTCCCACCCTCACAGGGAAGGATTTCTTCCCAATATCCCATCTAATCCTGCCCCTTGGCAGTGGAAAGCCATTTCCCCTTATCCTGTCACTCCAGGCCCTTGTCCAAATTTGCTGAACAGATAAATATTTTTCTTTAAGCAGGGTCCATACTGGCTGTCAGGGGAAGGGTTTTCCATGCTCTTCTACCAGGTGACACCCACAGAAGAACCTTTTCCTTTTTTTCTCCCCTGTTTTTTTTCCTTAAAGCCTTTCCCCCACAACACAGCAGCTTCATGGCCAGGACAGCAACACTAGAGCAGTGGAAAGGAGGCAAAGCCCCATGTGAAACTCATCTCTCACCTTCACGCCAAGCCAGCCCCATTTTATTTAGGATGACTCCCAACAATGCACTCGAATGGATTTTTCAAACTAATTTTCCAAGCTAAAGAATTCCAGTCAAAGGATAGAGACTCCCCTTGGAGAGCCAGAGGGTTGCTGCATATCTGCAGCGCCCTTCCCAGTGGTTACTGGAGCTGACAGACAAACAGAGAAGTTCTCAGGTCAGGTGCAACTCCAAATTGTAAACTCTGCACACCGGTTGCCCAGATTCAGCTAAATCAGGGGACACAGCCCAAAGCAGAGCAAGTCCTGCACCTCTCCAGCCACAGCACCCCATGGGCACTGTCGCTCGCGGGCCCTATTCCAATGCAGTCTTTGCAGCACAAATCATCACCTACCCAAATAAACTACTCCAGGGCAGGTCTCAGTGAAGAACTCTCCTGGGTTTTGGCGCTGGGTCCCTTCGATCCCCTCTGCTGGGTGAGCTGGTGAGAGCGCTGGGGCCGGGCAGAGCTGGTGGCAGGAGCAGCCAGGGCTGGTGGCTTCACAGCCCTCTCAGTCCAGCCTCTGGACATGTTTTTACTGCGGGGAAAAAAAAGGACAAGAGGGCTCAGTCTTAAGCTCTGCAGGGAAAGTTTAGGTTGGATATTAGGAAGACATTTTTTATGGAGAGAGTGATCAGCTGTTGGAATGGGCTGCCCAGGGAGGGGGTGGATTCTCTGTCCCTGGAGGTGTTTAAGGTGAGACTGGATGTGACATCAGTGCCATGGTCTGGGAACCACAGCGGGGTTGGATCAAGGGTTGGACTTGATGATCTCAGAGGTCTTTTCCAACCCAGCTGATTCTATGATTCTTTGGAAAAAAAAAGAAGAAAATCACTACAGATGCAAAATTCCAAGTCTTCTATACGTGCAGGTCTATAGTCTGTGACTACTTCTGTGTTTCACTCTATTTCTTCAGCACACATCCAGCAGCTGAGATGGGAGCTCCTCCATTAGCCCTGCATGGAAGTTATTTGCCTTTAAGAAAACCACAAAACAGTCAAAAGCAACTGCTGACACCAGACGTCATTTGGGCTGAGGGGCCAGACTACCCAGAGCCAGCACAGGGGAACTGTACATGATATTAAACAGGTTTTAGACATCATCTGCTGTGTTTTGAAAGGCAAGTCTCCGCCCAGCAGAGCTCCTCAGCATCCCAGCTGACACAAACCAGAGCTCTGCTGAAGTCAGTGGCACTGTAACCACCTTCTCCAACCACGGGATCTGGCCCCCCAGATTTCCAGCTCAGCATCCTGTGATCCTGATTGCACTTTTCTTACTCCAAGACAATCCAAGTCTTGGCAGGAATGCCCTTCTGTTCAAGTGAAAACGTTGCCAATGTTGTGATTTTCCATATCTAATTACCAGGAGATTAAATTCCATCACCGTGGATGAGCGTGACTGCTGCCTTCAGACTTGCTGACGTGTTTTCAGAGAGGGGGAGAGGGAAGACAAGGGGAAAGGAGAGGAGGAAAGAGGCTGTGCATAGAATCATGAAATTGTTAAGGCTGGGAAAGACCTTTATGATCATCAGGTCCAACATCAACCCAGCACCACCACCGTGTTCTCAAGTGCCTCACCCACACACTTTTTCAACACTTCCAGGGACAGGGACTCCACCACTGCCCTGGGCAGCCTGTGCCAGTGCCTGAACACCCTTTCCCTGAAGAAATTTTCCCTAATATCCAATCTAAACCTTCCCACACTCAGCTGGCACAAGGCAGCACCCTTCGACTCAAGGATCCAGCCTGCCCAGGGGTCAAACAGATCTTCTAGAAGTGGTCCAGATGCTTCTGTTTAAGTAGCCCAGTGGGACAGTTCACAAGCTCCTTGTCCTTCTGCCATCCACTGCCAACAAGTGCACGTGAGGGCATGTGGGCTGAGCTTCCTTCCCTTCCTTCCTGCCCTGGATGCAGCAGGACTTCCTCCAAAGAAGAGCTGAAGCCTCCAGTCTGTAGTCTGAGGAAAATCAAGGCTATCACTGATTTTTTTTTTTTTTAAATGTCTTTTGCTGATAGCACTGTGGATTGGAGTGTGAATTACAGCCAGCAGCAATAATGAACTCACGACATAACAACCCTGGGGATGGAGCACGGAAATTTGGGGCCAGGGTACAGAAGCTCTCATCAGGCAGATGGGATGTTTGCTAATGCAGGGGTTTGCGGCAGGGGATGGTTTGGATTCAAGCAGACTGACACACTGAGCCTTTTACATCCTGTACATTTTTTTCTGTGCTTTGTACAGGCAGTTCTTGCCAAAATGTTTCGGACTGCACTTGGCAGAGAAGCGTTTAATCAGCGTTCAGCCTCTTACGGGGCTGTCTCTGAGGGAGCAGACTCAGGCCAGAGATGGCAAGTGGTAATTTTGGCTGCCTAACCTGGGTTGATTAATTTTAACAGTCTGTTTAACAACAGATACCGTGTGGCCACAGCCAAAGAAGTTTCATGGTCTTTACTGAGACTGAAAGTAGGTGTGAAACGCTTTTAAAATGCATCATTACTGCAGGAGAGATAAAAGCTTCCTTGTCCTAATGGGGGAATGGACTGGCCCAGGTTCCAGAGCGATTATTGCTCTTCTCTGTAAGGTCACTCAGTGTTACCAGATCCCTGAATTTCTCTTATAAAGTTGCAGAGGAAAGCTCCAAAGCTGAAAGCTCCAAATCCTGGAGTCAAAGATTTGGATCACCATCATGCATTTTTGATTTCTGAACTGCTGCACCACCTCAAGGAGAAGAAGTTTAGGTCCTTCTCTCAGTCTCAGAGCACAACCTCTGTAAGGTGTTCAACTCAAGGAGTTACCAAACTCTGTGAGAGAGAGAGACATCTCTTAGTCACAGAATCCCAGACTGGTTTGGGTTGGGAGGGACCTTAAAGCCCATCCAGTGCCACCCCCTGCCAGGGACAGGGACACCTTACACTAGCCCAGGTTGCTCCGAGCCCCGTCCAACCTGGCCTTGGACACTTCCAGGGATGGGGCAGCCACATTGCTCTGGATTTGTAAATTTGTTTTGAGACAAACAACCACCATGGAATGTCTTACCTCACATTATAAGACACAACAGCTGTGTTTCTGTAATACATTTTGCAATTCAGAGTTGCAGATGATCAAGGAAAAGGTTTTGAGATGAGATAATAACAAAATCATTTTGCATTCCTAAATCAATGTGTGTGCCAGTTTTAAATTACGTTTTTAAAAAGTGATCTTTACTCCAATAGTAAAGTGTACTATTATATGAGTAACTCAAGGTCCAAGACCAGAGCTGGCTCAGTTATTGAGTTTCCAAGCCACAGTAATGCCAATATATTTGGAAAACAATGTCATATTTAGTCCAGCTAAAAAGCAAAGAATTCTAGAACTGAACTCACATGGCAGGAGTTTGGTTTTGAGACAATACTCCTTTTTTTTCCAGACTGAGCAACCTGGTCTAGTGGAAGGTGTTCCTGCCCTTGGCAGGGGTTTGGAAAGAGATGGTCTTTAAGGTCCCTTCAAACCCAAACTGGTTTAGGATTTTCTGGACTATTTCCAGGTTTTTATTACAGCACCATTTAGGTCTGAACTTCCCAGCCTGCTTTGAGGTTAGCAGCAAACACCAAACCCTAGTGACCCTCAACTCCTGGTGCTCATCCACGTACAGACACCCAAGTGTTTCGTACACAAACCCAGCACCTCTCCAAAGGCACGAGCCAGGTCAGGCCCCCTCCACCCAGGGGTTTGTTTCAGTCCAGCCCAGCCCTCGGGCTTCTGTGCCCTTATTTTCCATCATTTCTTAGAGAACACGGGCAGAGTGCAGGCACTTGTGTCAAGAGAGGGCAGAACAGGACGAAGGGAAGGAGGAAGCCCACCTCCAAGAAATCTCTGATTAAAACTGCTCCCAAGTTCCCGTTTCCTCCACAAACAAAACAGCCTGTCGAAGTCCAAGCTGGGGTGGATAAAATATCAGCCACGTGCCTGACTTACAGCACTGGGACTGAGGTTTGGGCACCATTTCAAGACTTTCCCCTAGGAGTCTATCCAAACCCTCTTCGCTTCTGATGTGGAATAATTTGGAAGTGTTTTCAGGCTGCCGGCTGGGATAACACAAGGGCTATTGTAAACACACACGCAGCTGATCAGCACCAAACCCACACAAATATGGTCTGTGCACACATAAACAACCAGGCAGTATTCTCAAAAAAAAAAAAAAAAAAAAATTAATTGAAAAGCTGAATTAAAGGAAAAGATGAAATCACTGAGCAGGTCTTAACAAACCAATGACTGTTTGTGGAAAGAGTTATGTTTCACCTAATTTCGATAAGTGAAATATGGTTAAATGCAGGCCACTAGACTTTAAGAGCAATGGGTAAGCTCCAGCCAGAGTCAGCTGTCATCCAAGTGTGGGCAGCGAAGCAAGACCATAATTTCCATGGATGCTGTTTCAAATGCTCTGCTGCCAGCCGAGAAAGTTTGGAAATGTATGAGAGCATAACCAGGGCAGGAAGACCTGGGAGGCTTAGAAATAACCTGCTGGAGACACAGGACCCAGCCTGGAGCTCTAATCCTGCATCACTGCTGCTTGCCTGACCCCTGCTTTGGGTGGAAAAGCAGTGGATTGCCCTTTTGGAGTCAATGTTCTCTGGGATAATTTTGGTTTCTTCCACTGCAGTGACCAGGAAGAAATTCATCTCACCTGTGAGACAGGACCCAGCTGGCTTCAATATGGAGTCACGTTTTAGACCCACCCCAGCTTTCAAAGCAGGCTGATGGGAGCCCAGAAATGAGTGTCTTCAGAGATGGCCTCAAGGGAAGTCACAGCCAGGTGCTGGCATCATTCAGGCACGGCCACACTATGAGATGGAGGGGCTCTTTCCCAGGATTTCCAGGTAGCTCTGGTCTGTCTCATGGTATTACATCCATATCCTCTATTATTTCTTCCAAATTCCTCAGTTACCTCTGGGATTTTCCTCCATCAGCTGCTCTAGGCAGCAGATGAACCCACTCATGCCAGCAGGTGAGCAAAGAAGCCACAGGCAGGGATCTGCAGCAACTCACCTTCCCTTCCTTCTGAAATTCCATCTCCCAGAGGTGTGATGGGACAGAGGTGACATACCTCACACCAAAGCTGCTCTCTGCCACGGCAACTGCTTTTCCTGCAAGGAATGAAGTCTCTCCATGTCTGACCAGGCATTTCTGTCCACCTTGCCTAGCCCAGGTTGGGATTTAAAGAAAACAACAGCAAACCCATCTGTCAGGGTTACAGATGTTGAGTATTTACATCTTGCCACTGGATGGGTTTTGAGCAGAATCATTCCACATGTCAGTGGGGAGAGCAAACCTCATTCCCAAAATGAGATAGCAAAGATTTCTCTGCAGTAATAAATCCATCTGGATAATAATGGGGTGGTTTATGACTGGTTTGTAACTGCACCATCTGCAAACAATATTTCCTTGAGTAGGAAGTAGCTGGAAAATGAAGCAACATTTCATGTGGAGAGGCTTAAGTTCTTTGCTCTTCCACCACCAGCACTACTTTGACCAACTATGCTTTGACCATACTCAAAGCAA